CACACACACACACACCCCCACCCCCCACTGTTGATCTGCCCTCAGGGCTGCGGGTCGGACTGCGAGGCCTTGGGTTTGACCGTGTTCCTGGGATTAGAGGAGCGCAGGCTTTCGCTCTTCGGGATGTAGGCCAGAGTTGCAGAGAGATATTTATTTATTTTTGCTGAGAGTTTCTGCCCCAGATTTCACGCAGCGAGGCAAACGCGGGGTTTTGCACACAGCTTAAGTCGACAACTTGCTTTATTTTCTCAAAATTTCACCAGTTATTGAACAAAAGGGATAATGCATGGCCAATCTGGGTGCATGAAGCCACCTAAATGGTTAAAGGGATGGTTCAGATCTTTTGAAATGGGGGTTCTGTAGACGGGGTATGCAGAATAATCGTCTCACCTGTTTTTTTTTTGTGGCCTCAGTTTAGAGCAGGGGTGGGCGATAATGGTCCTTCAGAGCTGCTATCCTGCATGTTTTACTTGTTTCTCTGCTATGCACCTGATTTGAAGGAAGGGTGATTGACAGGTGTCTGCAGAACTTGAAGAGGTAATTCAGTCCTTGAACCAGGTGCGTTGAAGCAGAGAAACAAGAAAAACATGCAGGATAGCAGCTCTCAAGGACCAGGATTGCCCACCCTTTGGTTTACAAGAATAGAAATTGATGAGCTAATGACCTCTTGGACTAGACATTTGCTCATCAATCTAGTCTGTTAACTTTATTTTTCTCTAAACTGAGATTGTTCAACAATTTACCTGCAACACATACAATAATAATTGTTTATATCCTTTCCAAAGAACCCTACAAAATCCTCCCATCTGTTGCTTCGTGTCTTGTTTTGCTATCTCACGTTCTTGCTACAAAACGCTGGCCTCTCACCCGCTCATTTGTAAATTTCCCAGCGAGCACACCTGTCAGCATGAGGTGACTCCTTGCGCACAGCATGGGACGTTTCCCCTCGTATGAAATCTTACATCGAGAGTTTCTCCCCCCTTTTTGTTACACGGGAGAGGTTTTCTTGTAAGGCTGCGTTGGATGGTGAAAGGAGCTAATTATAGCGGGCAGCTTTGGAGTTCGGTGGACCAGATTACAGTCGCTCCCCTCTCAATGGCTGCCTTGTTCTAGTGTCCGATTATTAGGCAGGGAGAAGTGCATTCTGGGATGATTGTATCTGAATTTCCATTAGAAAGTGTGCCTGCCTCGTTTGAACTGAGGCCCTCTTCTGTCCCCACAGTTTCTGTGCTTTCCTTCATTGCAGATTTGTAAATGGGGAATGGCTTTTTTTCTGTAGAGTGCAGAACCATAGTTCTGAATCGAATARGCATATGAGGACAGAAACTTCAAATTAAGTGTTTGTGGGAGGGAACAAAAACACTTTAAAAGTTGTATTTTAATGCAGCCCTCTAGCATAAAGGGTTCAGCCTTGAAAATAATTGAGAACGAAATCGATGAGCAACATAGATTGCATGCGCTCTCTAACCCAAACCCACCTTATTACTGTATTGCTTTTCCAATACAAATGCATTATTAATGGATTCTGGAAAGTCGGTGCATTGGATGTGATTAATGGTTCAAATAGTGGTCATGGGTCTCTGTTATATTGTTTTAAATTGAACTTCAAAACTTCTTCAAAAATGGTGGAATTAGTATGATGAAAAAAAAAACAGGATGTACGCCACAGAGGAATGGTGACCTCTGGAAAACCTCTTTTTTTTGTCATTCCAGCTACAGTTACACAACACAGAAACAAGCCAGTGGGGGTAATTTTTTTTAAAAAAAAGCTGGACTGGGCATACATGTGGTGGATTTTTAGGGGAGAATAAAAGCAGTGACGCGACAAAGTAGGGGGCAAAAAAACTGCAGCGGCAAAGACTTTGTGAGAGGGGAAGTGAAGCAAACCACTGCCAGTTTCTGCTTCAGGCTGTGTTCCTGGGTTCCTGGTATGTGCCCTTTCAGATTTGTGCTCGTGGATCAACCAATCAATGCCTGCCATAAGTAACCCCGCTGCTCGGCTGTTGGCTGCAGCAGAATTCCATGAGTCAGCGCGTTCGTTGATAAGATGTTATGATTGAGCCTCTGCCAGTGAAATTAGGCCACCGCTCAGCGTTCAGTAGTTTGGACCACTGCTCCTGGACTCTTAGACACAAAGTTTCTCTCACCTACAGACAGAATGAACTCGGTCTGCAGCTCTAAAGTTCTTCATAGTTTTGTGGGTTGTCTGAAGAACTGGTCTATAAATAGAGCAGTGTCACGCATGAATGGACACTCCGTTACATGTTATGTGTTAAATAGTTTCTTGGTGGTTTTTGGCTGAGTCATAGTTGCCTCTAATTGTTCTCGATGTTCAAAGACTTAAATTCTCAATAATGCAGAAAGACTACCATGAAACCCACTTACACAGGTTTTTAAAGATAAATCCAGCAGTTTTTGTGATCTGTGGGCTCCTTCCATTATTTAAACTGGCCCTCAGTTCTTAATATTTAGTCCCCATTCCTCGTCGCCTAAGTAGGGCTGGTGGTGTGAGCAGGAGAAGGCTCTGGTGTGGCTTTTGTTTGACTTTTTTTCGCTGGAGATTCTCACTGTTGGCGCCCCTGAGTTTCCTGCAGGAAGTCCACCTACGATGCATGGCTGCGTGGGAGGGAAATGGTGGGCCAGAAGGAGCAGAGAAGGGTGGAGAGAGAGGAGGAGAGCTCGGGGTGGAAGGTCAGGAGAAGAGTCGGAGGGGGCTAACAATGGAGTCTATTTATGCTGGGAATGGTTTGGCCACGAATGTGATGTTTTTATCAGTCCATCTGATTCCAGTGAAGGTAATAACTTTTGTACCCTAGCAGGGAAACAAACCCGAGCTTTGGTGTTTTTAGGGCTACGTTTACACTATGGGTTTTGTAATATCTGAGAACAGAGTGAGGGTGGGTGCAATATTCAGGTTACGCTCTTCTCTTGAGTGGGTGCGCTGGGTTGGAAATAATGTTTTTTGAAGGCATATCAAAGTCATATCCACATGAACGTCAACGACAAGATGATCAAAACTGTTTGTTTTAGTGTCAAAGCAGGTCACTTTTCAACATCAGAACTAAATAAGTTTGGTGAGAGTCATGAAAGTTTAATTACTTTGCAGCTACATTTAATTGTTAAGTTTTTTTTATTGATGTGGAAACAAACTCCAGTCTGATTTGTTGTTAGGAACCCACAAAAACGTAGCGTGACTGTAATTGTTTTTCACCTTGTAAAAACAAACAGACAAAACAAAACAAAAGGCTGAGAGATTAATCAGAAACATATTCTACTTGCAGGTGGTAGTTTGTCAGTAAATTGTGTTTTTGTTTTCTAAATGTGCTTGATGCTCTGAATCATGGCAGGTGGTGGCACACCTTGTTTTTCATTTGACTGATGTGGCAGCAGTTATGTGTTTTGTCACTTCCTGCTTCGGAAATTGTGGAAATAGCTCAGTGCTCATTCGTTCTTTGTTTTGTAACCAGAGGGAAAACCACGTTCTGGGTTTTGTGTTTTGTGTAAATAATATTTGTGATGACCTAACGTGGACGACATCAGGTGTGACGCAGAGACCTTTTAAAAGCAGCATGGGTGTGTCAGAGGGACTGWGGTGAGGTAGTAGCCTGGCTGTAAGCAGTTTGTCCGGTATGATGATCAGACTCAAACACCCACCCACCCAAAAACAAAAACAAAACAAAACAAAACAAAAAAAAAACAGGCTCTAGACTGCTCACCTTTACTCAGAACTGTTCTGTAACGTAACAGAAAGCAAGGCGTGTGACTAAATGCCGTGCAGCCTTTTTTCTTGTACACACCAGTTCCCATAATAAGATTGGGTGTGAAGGAATTATGGCACAAAAAAGTGATTTCAGGGTTTGTCTGTGCAATAGTAATAAAAAAAACCCAGAAAATGTGCAGAGGGCACAACGTAAAATCATTTTTAGCTTTTAGTTTTCTGCCTCGACAAATTCCAGCCGCTTCAGGTTTGTGATTTAATTTGCGTTTTCGTTTAGTGTACTGACACGTGCACGCGATGTTTACACTGTCCTCTATCTCGATGTCTTGATGATTTATCATAACGGGTCTTACAAGCTGCTGCTCTCACGGATGTGTTGACGTTTTTATTGGAAACATGTCCGTACACCTGCAGCATTCAGACAGAGAAGAAAGAGGGTGAGTGTATCTGGTGCGGAGGTGTCCTGCTTCCAACGTATTCTAATTAAAGTTGGCAGCTTTAATCGCAGAATGACATGCATTGGAGAGAAAAGCGGGCGGAGAGGAGGGGGAAATCAACCTGAAGCCCTCCAGAGAAGTGCTTCTGACTTCTGCTGAACTTCTCCCCAACGCTGTCCATCACCCACGTGACTCTTTTCCCTCTTGTGTCATTTGGTTGTCACAGATTATTCTTTTGTTTTTGTTTATGTCTGCCCAATTGTTACCCTTGATTTATTTATTTGTTTTATTCTGGGAGCGGTGTTGGTGGGAGTTGTGGTGGAGGACAGAGGAAGGGCATCACCTTGTCACTGGATGTTTGCGTCAGATGCCACTCGAGGAGAGCGCGGTTGGTGTTTGGCACCTCCCAAGCGAACAAGTGCTGACACGGTCTCTCCAAAGCATCCGAGGACATGTTTTACAATGTTGTGATTTTAATATTCCTTACCTGTGGCTTGCTGCAGGCGTTTTAGCATGAGAAAAGCCATTATCTCGCTTTAAGTGTTTAGTATTCTTGTTAGACGCAGCTCAACATTAAATGGTTTACAAATTGTTGCGGGAGATGGTTAGTGGTGGTGTTCCTTCATAGGTGACACTAAAACTGTCGAAGGTTATTTATACTGCTCGATACACAAACAGAATAAACACCAGTGGCTGCACCTTCCTCACCCTCATCGCATAACTGTCAGCGTGGTTCTGGTCATTTGGCAGCTATGTGACAGTGGGCATCATAGCCTCTTTAAGGTGTGAAGATAA